CTTGGGGGACCTTTGGGGACCTTGGGGACCCGCTGGCCGCCCCCCAGCACCCATGGGTGCCCCTAGAATCCCACTAGAGCCCAGGGGACATCCCGGCATCCCCAGATCTTCTGGGGACCCCAGGGCACCTTTGGGGACCCTGGGGGACCTTGGGGGACCTTTGGGGACCTTGGGGACCCGCTGGCCGCCCCCCAGCACCCATGGGTGCCCCTAGAATCCCACTAGAGCCCAGGGGACATCCCGGCATCTCCAGATCTTCTGGGGACCCCAGGGCACCTTCGGGGACCCTGGGGGACCTTGGGGGACCTTTGGGGCCCCTGGGGAGCCGCTGCCCCCCCCCAGCACCCACGGGTGCCGCTCACCCAGCACCATGTGCACGGCGCCCGGCTCCAGCCCGCCCAGGAACTTGCGCTTGAAGCTGATGCCCTCGAAGTCCACGTAGACCCGGCGCAGCACCGCGAAGCCGCCCTCGCCCACCAGCCCCTGCGGCACCCACGGGTGCTCAGGGCGGCCCAACGACGGCCAAGGACACCCTGTGACCCTCAATGACTCCCAATGTCACCCAGTGCCGCCCAATGACGGCCAAGGACACCCAATGGCACCCAATGACCCTCAACGAACCCCAATGCCACCCAAAGCCACCCAAAGCCACCCAACGCGACCCAATGACTTCCAATGGTTCCCAATGCCACCCAAAGCCACCCCATGCCACCCCAAGACTCCCAATGCCACTCAATGCCACCCCACGGCTCTCAATGTCACCCAATGGCTCCCAATTCCACCCAATGACCCTTGATGACTCCCAATGCCACCCAACGATCCTCAATGACTCCCAAAGCCACCCAAAGCCACCCAATGGCTCCCAAGCCGCCCAATGATGGCCAAGGACACCCAATGTCACCCAATGCCACCCAAGGACCCTCAATGACTCCCAATGTCACCCAATGACCCTCAAGGACTCCCAACAACGGCCAAGGACACCCAAAGACACCCAAAGACACCCAAGGGCCCTCAATGACTCCCAATGTCACCCAATGACCCTCAACGACTCCCAGCAACGGCCAAGGACACCCAAAGACACCCAATGCCACCCAAGGGCCCTCAATGACTCCCAAAGTCACCCAATGACCCTCAATGACTCCCAATGCCACCCTGTGCCACCCCATGGCTCTCAACGTCACCCAATGACTCTCAACGACTCCCAGTGACCCTCAATAACTCCCAATGTCACCTAATGCCACCCAATGGCTCCCAATGACCCCTAATGACCCTCAATGATTCCCAGTGCCACCCAGTGCCACCCAATGACTTCCAATGGCTCCCAATGCCACCCCATGCCACCCAAAGACTCCCAATGCCACCCAATGACTCCCAATGGTTCCCAATGCCACCCCATGCCACCCAATGACCCTCAGTGACTCCCAATGACTCCCAATGCCACCCAATGTCTCCCAATGACTGCCAATGTTTCCCAATGCCACCCAAAGCCACCCAATGACCCTCAGTGACTCCCAATGAATCCCAATGACCCTCAATGCCTCCAAATGCCACCCCATGTCACCCAATGGCTCCCAAAGTCACCCAATGACCCTCAATGGCTCCCAATGATTCCCAAAGCCACCCAATAACTCCCAATGACCCTTGATGACTCCCCAAGACTCCCAATGACCCTCAATGACTCCCAATGACTCCCAATGACTCCCAATGCCACCCAATGGTTCCCAATGCCACCCAAAGCCACCCCACGCCACCCAATGACTCCCAAGGCCACCCAAAGCCACCCAATGGCTCCCAATGCCACCCAATGACGTTTGATGACTCCCAAGGCCACCCAAAGCCGAGGTGTCACCCGGATGTCACCCGTACCAACAGGCGGCCCCGCGCCACCGCCGCGTGCACGTTGCGCAGGGAACCGTCGGCCTCCTCGAACACACACGGGTGTCACACACACGTGTCAGGTGTCACACACACACATCACAGAGGTGTCACCCGGATGTCACCCGTACCAACAGGCGGCCCCGCGCCACCGCCGCGTGCACGTTGCGCAGGGAACCGTCGGCCTCCTCGAACACACACGGGTGTCACACACACGTGTCAGGTGTCACACACACACATCACAGAGGTGTCACCCGGATGTCACCCGTACCAACAGGCGGCCCCGCGCCACCGCCGCGTGCACGTTGCGCAGGGAACCGTCGGCCTCCTCGAACACACACGGGTGTCACACACACGTGTCAGATATCACACACACACACGGGTGTCACACACACGTGTCAGGTGTCACACACACACATCACAGAGGTGTCACCCGGATGTCACCCGTACCAACAGGCGTCCCCGCGCCACCGCCGCGTGCACGTTGCGCAGGGAACCGTCGGCCTCCTCGAACACACACGGGTGTCACACACACGTGTCAGATATCACACACACACACGGGTGTCACACACACGTGTCAGGTGTCACACACACATCACAGAGGTGTCACCCGGATGTCACCCGTACCAACAGGCGTCCCCGCGCCACGGCCGCGTGCACGTTCCGCAGGGAACCGTCGGCCTCCTCGAACACACACGGGTGTCACACACACGTGTCAGGTGTCACACACACACATCACAGAGGTGTCACCCGGATGTCACCCGTACCAACAGGCGGCCCCGCGCCACCGCCGCGTGCACGTTGCGCAGGGAACCGTCGGCCTCCTCGAACACACACGGGTGTCACACACACGTGTCAGATATCACACACACACACGGGTGTCACACACACGTGTCAGGTGTCACACACACACATCACAGAGGTGTCACCCGGATGTCACCCGTACCAACAGGCGTCCCCGCGCCACCGCCGCGTGCACGTTGCGCAGGGAACCGTCGGCCTCCTCGAACACACACGGGTGTCACACACACGTGTCAGATATCACACACACACACGGGTGTCACACACACGTGTCAGGTGTCACACACACATCACAGAGGTGTCACCCGGATGTCACCCGTACCAACAGGCGGCCCCGCGCCACCGCCGCGTGCACGTTCCGCAGGGAACCGTCGGCCTCCTCGAACACACACGGGTGTCACACACACGTGTCAGATATCACACACACACACGGGTGTCACACAC